GCTCATGTAGAACCCTGTAGTACCTCCCATGGAGCTCCTTCATACCATACGATCTCCCGGTCGGAAATGCTCTGTACTGCCGGGTCTTGCCATTGCTCGTTGGCTAAGGATAGAGGGGTAAGTCCTTTATCACTAGAAATGACGTCATTATAGAATGGATCATCCGATCTCGCCAGGAAGTAATGACGGAGGCTGCACACTTCGCGATTATGCATGGTGAGCGCGCTCAGGAAGCCACGCCCACCATGCTTTCGCGGCAAGTACAGCCTCATTACCGACGATCTCGGATGATGCATCCTATGGGACGTCATTGTAGTGTGGACTTTTTTATCCAGGGCGTTAAGTTCAGTCTGACTCCATCTGAGTATGCCAAAGGTATAGATGAGGACAGGCATGACCCAACCGTTATATGCATGTGTCTTATTCACACCGGATAAAAGGCTGTTAAGCACTTTGGTCAAGCGTGCATAAAACACGTCGCAAAGTGACTGTTTCATACTAGCCTCATCGATACCGATGTTCTGTGACATACCCAGGTATCGGTATGTTTCAGCCTCGGAAAGGGCCCTTAAGTTGACGGGCATAGATAAGTCTATACCCTCAGAATTAGCAACCCTTCCCCTTTCAACATGGAGGACCGCACACTTATCCGTCCCCAGCTCCATTCCAATAGAATTGCTAAATTCACAAGTGATTTTTAGCAATTCCATAAGATGGGAGCGACTGGAGGCGAATAATTTGAGGTCATCCATATAGAAAAGGTGGGTCACTTTTGTACCTCCTTTCCGAAGCTGAAATCCCCTCCCGGAGCCCTCCAGTAAAGTACTGAGAGGGTTCAAAGAGAGGCAGAACCAGATTGGACTCAGACAGTCGCCCTGGAATATACCCCTTCTTATCCTTATGCGGCTTTCCGCAGCCGTCATACGCTCGCCTAGATGACAGAGGATCGTACTCCACTGCCCCATACACTGCTCGAGGAAGTCTCGAACTGTACAGTCAATCTTGTACAGCTCGAGGACCCTCTTTAGCCATGTATGGGGCACCGAGTCAAATGCCTTTCTGTAATCTATCCAAGCGGCGGAGAAGTTCCGACGGTTGCGTTTCACCACTTTCCCAATGACCGCGTCAATGAGGAGTGGTTCCTTGATCCATTTTGAGCGCGCAACATCACCTGATTTGAGTCCAGGTGACGAGCGATTCTCGCGCTTAAAATGGATGTTAGTGTCTTGTATATAGTCGGTAGACACGTGATGGTGCGGTATTTGCTCGGGTCTGTGGCACCCTGATCTTTAGGAACCAAATGAGTGATCCCAGTAGTGAAGAGGCTTGGGAGCGACTTCTGGTTGAGAGGCTCTTGAAACTGTCGGGCGAGCACAGCGTGACACACCATGAACCCCTTCAGCCAGTAGTGATGCAGCCCGTCAAGCCCCGGACTTTTCCAGTTCGGGGCCCTACGGACCGCCTCAGCTACGTCATCCGGCGTTATGGTGACGGGGTCCATGGGCGTAATACCCGCACACTGACTCGCCACAACTTCCGTCCAAGGGCCCTCGTTGTGGTTTACGGGCTCTGACCACAGGCTGCGCCAGAATGCGACCGTGTCGGCCTGATTTGGTGCTGGGCCCGTTCCACTTACTATTGGTCGCTTCAATGATTTATAGAGCCTCTTCTGATCACTCTGGAAGAGACGATTCTGGTTGAACCGTGTCGACCTCTCGGTATATCGCCGAATCCGCTTTCCCCAAGCAGCGATTCTTTGCTTCAGGTCGTCTATGCGCTCCGTCAGTTTTTGCGTTATATCCGGCTGGGACAAACTAACATTTGTCCCAGCAAACGCCATCCTGATGGTGCGCACAATCCTTGGCCTGGTATTGCCTGACCTGAAGCATATCAGTCTGCCGATGAGGGCCCTAGCCCTTGCGATACGTTCTTCAATTCTTATTCTCCAGGCTGGGATAGCACTACTTTGTCCAGTAGCGCGTCCAGCCGTGGAAAGTTTGGCGCCTATAATACGGCAGACTGCCAGTGCGGCGCCAAAAAGAATTGAGTCCGTCTCGCAAAGGTCCCGGCTGGCTTCCAAATAGGTAACCAGCATTGGGTTCAGAGCCCTCACGACAGCCCGATTCCGCTTGCTTAGTGCTAAGCGGGGAAGTCGCGGTCGATTTTCGAGAGGCGTACTGCGCGTTTCCACAATCGCCTCCTCCAATGTACTCCTCATTTGCTCTAGTTCCAGTTCCTGGGCGACTGTTCCGTCATCGTTTGAATCAACCACAACTGGCGTATTCACGGCGGCATCCACATTTGCCGTTTGCTCAGCAAGTTGTGGCGCCGCATCCTCAGCCGCAGCATTTTCACCCGATGAAGGAACAGCCTCACGTCGTAGCCGTTCGAGTTCGGTGACATCAAATGTATTTGAGCGCAAGATATACCGAACTCGGTCTGCCAGGTTTTGCTCGGTGATGGTTACAGATGGCTCCAGCTCAGCAAAAAGTCGATGCATCCTTGCCCGATACGCAAAACCTCCAGTTTCTCCCCCCTTTCGCCCTAAAATACGCCCGCAATACGTTGCTGTTCATCTGGGTTGTCCAACGCATGCGGCGTACTCCACCAGTGGCGGGTTCCGATTGCTGGGCCCGCGAAGACCCTGCCGACACCAAACCAGCTGGTGGGGATGATGGATGCAAGGGACTGCTGGGTGGTCGTGCAGCACCTCGCGCTCGGCTGGCGGTTCGCATGCTGTCGCGTCCAGCGCCAGCTCCAGACGCGCCCTGGCGACCTCCAGGCAGCGGCCCTTTGCGCGTTCTTCCGTATTCCATCATCCATAGTGGTGGGCGTCATTTAGCGGGAGACGCCCAGACCCGGCGCCGTTTCATGGTGAGGCCATGTGCACAAGCGGTGTATGTAATCAAGGGTATTCTCGTGTACCCGTGTCGATGGTATGTGACACGTCACACGAACCGGAGACGCGTTTACTAGTAAAGAGGAATTCCAGCTTAGCCCACTTGACGACGCATCTACATTTTTCACTTGTTATCAGGTGGACTGCATACTCGTTTGTGATTATTAGTCCGGCCACATACATACATACGGAATTCCGATTGGAGATTCTGAATGCAGCAAGTCCAGATTACAAAATTGCCATTTAAAATCACGAAACGGAATTTCGTATGTATGTAGCCTGCCCTAGGCCCGCCACATGCTTACGGGATTGCAATTCGGGATTCTCTTAATTTGTATATATATACATACATACATATATATATATATATATATATATATATATATATATACATATATATACATAGGATTGGGTGACAAACGAGCACACAGTCCACCTGATGGTAAGTGGTTGCTGCGGCCCATAGACATCTACATCCATCCTCGATTACAATATAATTTGGATCGGTGGATATATACATATATATCCCCGGTCCGCTGTCACTGTGAAACTTACTTACATAACCATTATTAATAAGTAATTCAAGCAATTATAATTTTAAGATATTTGTATGTCGGTAAAACCATTAAAAATCGGGAAATAAAAAGCGTGGGAGAGCAGTGATTATGAACGCAGTGGGTAAACCCTGCGAATAATTCTGATGTATGATAACATTGTCAGTTTGTCAGCTATGAATAATGAATGTATTTTTTTAGTTTACCGAACTAAACGTACATTGCTTAATTGTTGTTTTTTCCGAATACTTATCAGGGTTGCCAAACATTGTATAGCTTAGACCTCTTGTATAAATGATAAAATATTGTAGTAATATCATAAAATAATTAACGTAGGAAGTTAAAAGTTACAGCATTATACTATGTACCAGAGTACAGACTTTCTCTCACTTCTGATGAAGGTAATTGATTACTGTGGCCGTGGTAGGAAAAGGGGAGATCTCCCGCCGAGCAAGGTGTTCTGCCCGGGGAGCGGCCAACACTCCGAGTGATAGTTCGGAGATGTTCTATATATACTGTTTCTGATTCGGAATGTTGATAGCGTGATTTAAGCTTCGGTGTGTTTTCGCTTGTGGCGGCGACGACAGCGCCGCTACATCACCCCCCTGCTCAGACCGGACGTCGATTGTGCAGTCGAGTTGTCGACGAATGTGCAAGTGCCAGGAGATTGCCTTGTAGTCTGCGATGAGTCGAGAAGAAGGCAAGTAATCTGCGAGAGTGCCGTGGAGCAGAGGCGAGCAGTAAGGCTCAGAGCCGTGCCGAACACTGTATAGCGCAGAGAGTAGCTTGAAGGAACAGGAAGCATTATTATTCCAGTGCTGCGATGAACCTTGTGAAGCTAGATGGCTTGCAGGATATGAAGACTGTAGACGATATCTGCTCGGGAGCGAATGTGTAGGGTATTCTATGACGATGATGAAGCTTGAAGTTTCCGAAGGTTGTTTGGTTGCGCGTGTTCAGATCACGTCGGGGTCACCACTGTGGCCGTGGTAGGAAAAGGGGAGATCTCCCGCCGAGCAAGGTGTTCTGCCCGGGGAGCGGCCAACACTCCGAGTGATAGTTCGGAGATGTTCTATATATACTGTTTCTGATTCGGAATGTTGATAGCGTGATTTAAGCTTCGGTGTGTTTTCGCTTGTGGCGGCGACGACAGCGCCGCTACAATTACCCTTTCACGGGAGGAACATTTTGCTTAGTGGGTTTTGTAAAAGGTATCTCCTGGTATCTGATAAACAGCTGGTATATACAAATGCCGTAGAATCTATAGCTGTATAGGGGCAGCACAAGAGAAAGATATCGTCGCAAGAGGTGAGACAGGAAAACTGAAACACGAAATGCGCAGCAACGTCTTTCTGGTTTGAAAACGAGCTTCAAATAGAAAAAAAATGCTTGCAAACCAGGTTTCTAAGCGTAATAATACAACTATGGTAAATATCCCCTTTATGGAATAATCTATGGAAAATCTATATGTCCAACAGTGGATTTCGATAGCCTGTAACGAATGATAATGAAAGATTGCAAATGTTAAATACCTAGACCAGTGTTTTGGGGACAAGGTCACTGAACTATCGTCAATCGTGGCGATTACACACAAAGTATTAACTATATGTTGTTATGTCCATATCCCACACTGTATTGCTTAAAAAGTTTTTTGTATGAGTCACTGATCATTTATAATTTATTTCGAAAAAACGATTATCTAAAGTAAGAATACGAATTTTCCAATTTCAGAGAACACATTTTCCAAGTTAAATTGATTATGCAATTTCGAAAAGGGCACATCTCGCATATTTTGACAAATACGTTTTTTCATATCAATGTGTAAAAGCCTCCATGTATATATTATGCTCTGAAAGGGAATGTCTCCGGTATTTGTTCTGCGGTCGACGTCATGGTCTGTATAAAAATAATTTTGTAAAGGTCACAAATCTAAGAAGCGTGACCTTGTCAAATTTATAGCTTAATCATAAGGCCGTTACACTCCATAATAATTCAGCCTTTTTTTTTTTTTGTTATTAAAAACAACAAGCATATTGCATCATTCACGCGCCGTTGCACGAAACAAAATTCCGAAAAAATACTGAGAAATATAAACAAGTTGGCATATAAACCACTAAAATTAAAGGTTTAAGTACCTCATATAAACCACAAAGGAAAACAAGTACCAGGACGATGAACATGATCACGATTTTTGATTGCATTATCTGTGCAAAGAAACACGATGGTCCATCTATATTTTCAGTACCCGGCCACTCTCTCTATGATTATGACAGACATCAGCATCATTGATGTTATAGTACAGTCCGGTAACACTAAGAAATTTAACGTTGAAAAAGTAAATACAGAAGATATTATTGATTTCAAGACATGGGCTTATCTAAATTTTAAAGTTAAACAGTAAAAAGTTATGGAAAAGATGTACATAGAAATCAAAAAGTTAGTTTTCGGCTAATTATGAGTATCCTAAAAACCTGGTGAAGTAACCGCAAAAAATATATAGATAATGGCGTTACTAAGGAAATTTTCGTTCCTTCTAAAGTAAAAGATATTTGCAGTAACTTACATACACAAGCTGATCGAGCTTATAATGACAGGTAAACAATTTATACTTGCAAAATTTACAGAATTTTATAACAAAATACTGCAGTGGTCAATTACAAACGAAACAGAGCCTACAAAGATTTTTAACAAAAATCTATTAACTATCTATATACTAACTTAAGTATTATTCTTAATTGTAGATATCTGAAATAAAAGTTTCACCAAATTTATATGGTTTTTTCTTTACGTTATGAGAACCCAATAACGTAAATTTCAAAAAGTGTATATCTCATAAATTTTAAATATCTAAATATACATATATATTAACATTACAAACAAAATAATTCAGTAACCTTCAACTGCTAATTGAACCCATAATGTAATTCAAAAATATTTTTTAAATATTACAACAAATTTTGTACAACTTTAGAAAATAATAATTTTTTGTAGTCTGCTGAAAATTTTAAATATTCAGACATAACCCCTTTTCTTTTCATTTCCTGAAAAGTTTAAATATTCAGTTATGTCTAAATAGAAATTGCATATTCAATTAGAATATCGTGTTTTATTGAGAAATGTATCTGCATTTATGAATAAAGAAACCGTGTACCGCTGGCGAATTTCAGCAAGTTCGACCAACTTCGACAAGTAAAAGTAAAAACAAGTGATCGCCATTTAACGACTGTAACGGAAAAATAAACGTGCTAGCAGCCGACAGTAAAGTAGTAAAAGAAAATAGGCGAATTACTTTAATTCAAAATTAATTAACAAATTAATGCGAAGCAGTGCGTTAGGTGCGACGGGAGCATCATTAAAAAACAATCATTAGTTTAATGGTAGAAATATAGAATTAAAAATATCAATATGCTTATACACTTTTTTGTTTAAATAAATAAAAATGTATGAAGAGGGTGGCTAAAAATAATTTTATACGTGGTAGAGCCATGCTGCAGTTATATTAGATGTATAGTGGTAGCACGAATGGGTCGGCTCGACCGGGGAAGGACCATGCTCTCATAGAATACCAGCGTGAAATAGTAGCTTAATGCTGCTGTGTTTCGTATTCGTATATTTCGTAGACCCTTTTTACTGGAAACGAGGTATTCCATCTTAGTCCTCACGGGTGACAACGCATCTGCATTTTGATTCGTAATTGAGGATAGATGTAGATGTCTATGGGCCACAGCAACCACTTACCATCAGGTGGACTGTGTGCTCGTTTGTCACCCTATCCTATAAAAAAAAGGGTGACAAAAGAGCTCACAGTCCACCTGATAGTAAATGGATACTGTGGCCCATAGACATCTACATTTATCCTCGATTAACAATCAAAACGTATACGCATTGTCTGCTCACTTCCTGGACAACACACCAGTTAAATGTTGGATTATATTTTAATGAGCTAATATCACATCAGCTCGTTAGGTATACCTCAGAACCTGAAAACTAAGTTGTACAACCAGTGCGTGTTGCCAGTGATGACCTACGGAACCGAGACGTGGTCCT